GCTGGGGCCCGAGAAAGAGCCTTTTTTTCAGGCAGTGCTTGCGAACGCCGGCCTGTCCTGAGCTCCCTTTTCGGTCGAGCTAATTAGTAAGCAAACGCCGCGAAGAGCGGCCCGACGTCAGACATGACATTGCGGTCACCCAGAGCCAAAAGCCCTAAACCAAGCCCTAAACCCTAAACCCTAAACCCGAAGCCCAAACCCCAAACCCTGAACCCGAAACCCGAAGCCCAAACCTTAAACCCTAAACCCTAAGCCTAGATCCCAAGCCCTAAACCCTAAAGTTCCCCCCTAAACCCTACACCCACGGCCCTTCTCTTGTTCGCGCCTGTGGACGTTGCCGCCGGTGAAGCTTCCGAAGCTCCAGAGGCTGCCTCTTTCACGGCAAAAAAGACTGGGGGCATGAAGCTGTTAGCTGGTAGAACACTGTAGTCCCATTATACTGGAGTTATGATATATGATACTAGTACAATGCTGTAGTAGGAGTATACTGTCACCAGAGCAGTACTGGTACCACATTTGTATTCAGCCTACCGCAACTATGATCGGGGTAGCCTACAGACGGCGTCCGGTTTAAGGATTCAGCGTACTCAGGGCGCATGCCCTGATCAGCACGAAGCACGGGGAACCTGGTGCTTCTCCAAGCAGTCCGCGATGCGTCGCAGCTCGACGACCTCGGCAGAAAGTAAAAGAAAGTCCTTGCTCAATACTATAGGGGTCTTAATAATTGCAAAAGGGTTTTGGGGTACAGGAGGAAGCCCCAAAATTGCATTGGTAATGAAAAGGCTCCGCGGTAGTCTCAGTAACCAACGCTAGCTCCCAAGAGTTTCCAGAAGACTTCCCGAGTCCCGAGTCTGAAGAGTTTGAGGAATCGGCCGCCGGATCTTCCGGAATGTGATCGCCGAAGGACTGCAGCCAAGAGAGCCAACATGGGATTCCGATGGGTAGAGAGTGTAGGGGATAACGCCCTCCCATGTGTTGGCATGCGATCCTTGATGGCATCGATGGCTGGCGGCGGGAGCAGCTCGGCAAGCTTTGCCTGACCGGCTCAGGTCTCTGCCGCAGAGCAAGGCCAATTGCAGACTCCCGTCAAGACATCCTCAAAGCCAAGGTTGCGATAACCTTCCGTCACGGGGTCATAATCGTCCTTCCACACCTGTCCTGGGCCCTGGCTCCTGTCTCAAGCCCATCCAGGCCTCTTGCGCCGCGGACAGCTTGCTGCCGGGCGACCGGGTGATCGTCAGAAGCGCAGCAGCGAGGGGAATCTGAGTCCGAACGCTTGCAGGATTCGGTCCAAAAGAAGCACACTGCCACCTCGTGAGGGTGACTTCTGACATTGGGTGTCCGACGCCAGCTCTCAACAGCTCGTGGACGCTAGCCTTTCTCATCAGAGCACTCAGGTTCAAAGATCGCAGGAGAAAGAAGCAGGACGACGGCAGCAGCAGCAGCAACAACAGCAACAACAACAGACGGCAACTACAAAGAAGACAACCAAGGCCACGACCAAACCCCACGACCACCTTCGAACACCCCCACGAGTTCAAGCACAACAAAGACTAACACAAATGAACAGGCTTCAGGAAAGCCCTGCCTTTGCGAGGTTGTGAAGCCCTTCGACCGGGTTTCCCTGGGCGCACGGAGCTCCGGGCTCAGGGCTGATGGAGACGAGGCCATGTGGCTTTTAGGGTTTAGTTGTGCCGCTTTGTCAACCTGCACATCATTGGTGCTGGGCCTGCGGCTCAAGTAAGTATTCTCCATGCAGCCAGACTGAAGAAAGCTTTTCCCGTAGCTTTCAACCCAAGATTCCGATGGTATAGAAACGGGAACCTCTGATAAATGAACCTGCAAGAAAGATGATATCGAGCAGTGTCAGGAACGACTAAGAAGATCCAGACTGTAAGAATTGCAGACCGGACTGTGTATTCTGATACCCGAATGATAAGCACTGTAAGAACGAGCAAGGTCATGTGCCGACTAGGCGAACTCTGTAGTGACTGTAGTAACACTGCAGTAGCATGCTAGGAGCTGATTCTAGTCTGCTGCGTCAGCGCAACAGCAGACAGCACAATGCCACCACAGATTCTCGCAGGAGTCCATGCGATAGGTTCACAATCATGGAAAACCAAAAAGAAGGCCGGTGCACATTATTGTAAGACTGAAACCTACCATAGCAATATCCAAACAGCCCCCGGCAGCCCCATAAGTGCCTGCGTAGGGATGGACTCACCCAGCTTGCTCGCGGCCTGGACATGACGGGCCATCTTCAACCATTTCCAATCTGTATGTGTATGCATGCATGTGTATACATATATATATATGTATACACATGCATGCATGCAAAGCAAAACATAACATAACATAACATAACATAACATAACATAACATAACATAACATAACATACAACCGCTCTACATATCTATCGATCTATCTATCTATCTATTTGACTTTCTGTCCGTCTGTCTACCTCTTAGAATCCAAGAAGGAAGAGCCCCCTCCCTGCCAGACCTCCGAGGCCTTGCCCATGGTCTCGCGCCCAAACTGCTCCAGCGAGGACCAGGGGCTCCCCTGCACCAGAGAAGTCTTTTCTCAGGCTCCAGAGCTTCGCTCACTGACTTAGAAGAGCTGGGCGAAAATCGTTCCCGTGCCTGCCCTCCTGAGAAGGCCCGGAGTGGCAGTGCCCCTCTCGCTCCTCCGCGATTGCCTGCAGCGCTCATAGCTCTTCTGTGAAGTTGAGGAAATCATCATACTGCCGTTGGTGCTCGATAGTGCTATTCTGGAGTGCTCCTGCCCCCTCATTGGCCACTTCTGTCACAAGCCGCCCACTGCGACACTAATTACCTGTAGATTCTGTAGATGTGGAGGGCATATGAGAGCATCACCCAAGAAGTCTGCAGTCGAAGCCAGGGGCCGATTCATGAAACCCCCAAAGGCACACGGAAATCCGCGCAATCAAGAGGCCCGAGCTCACAGCGCCCGGCGCCAGGAGACCAGCCCGCGCTCGCAGAGAGACACGAGCCTGGACTGCGAAACTCACCGCGGTGTGTGGTTCGTTTTCTCTTCCGGCCCACGGCTCAAGCGCTCCCTTCAAGCTCCGCTCTCTTCGTTGTGGACCCTGCTCTCTTTTGGGCCCCCGGCGGCGAGCGCCATGGCCGCCAGGCTTGGCCTGCGCTGTCTGAGAGCAGAGTTGCGCCCTTCACTGCTGTGGCGCTCGTCACTGCTGTGCGCAGGGATTCTGAAAGAGTCGGTTTTGCTGCCTGTTGATGTCTGTGTCGGTTCCGAGCCTAGGGATGCTCCTTAAGCCCCGTCCTTCAGGCGACACAGCTAAGCTTAACCCCGACAGTGACTTTACAGAAGCCGCGCAAGTTCCAACTCCATGGCGGTCGCAGTGGCTCTCGACTCTCGTCCGGCCTTGAGGTGTCCCAAGGGCGCACGCCCGGCCCGCCCCGGGGGCTTGAAACGGCTCTGAAACGGCTCCCGGAACCGGACCCGCTTTCGACCCACAGCAATTCACCCCGCAAGGCGCCTAAGGCCGGCCCCGCGATGGCGGCATGCTCTGGCTTTTTTCGCACTTCCGGGCCTGCAGAAGAGGCTTGGCGAACCAGGATTTGGCCCCGATCTCCTTCTGGTGGTTGAAGGACTTCTGCACCGGGACGTGAAGGGTAGTGTTGCCAAGCAGCATCTGAGGCCCTCCCCAAGCCCGGAGGTTTCTGAAGGCTTCGCAGTGAATGCGATAGAACAGCGAAGCTCCGGCATTAACAAGGGTTTGAAGTAGCGACAAGTTGTAGCTTTCAGAACTTTACAACCACGAGCGGTAGCAATTGAGAGCTTCGCTTTGTCGCCAAAGCCCACGCACAGAATCCGCGTGTCGAATTGAGCTCCCGGACCAGGCTACAATCACAGTTGGAGACTGCCAGTGGCTGTGCCTGCGTCGTCAAGTTGTCACGACGGCGTTGTCTGCTGAGTCCAATTTGTACACCCGCACTTGCGTGTCGTCGCCCCCAACAGCGAGACGCACACCGTTCCACGGGTTCAGCACCGACACGAGCCCAAGCTTCATAGCCACCTTGTACACATACACTTGCCCGTCTGCCCTCCCCGCAGCTACACGGGGAAGGCCAGAAAAGGCCGTGGTGAGGACCGCTTCCTTGGCAGCCTTCCAGAGTCTCGACAGTCTTCAGCTTCAAGTCCTCGTCCAGCTTATACATGTACACGTTGCCGTCACTGCTTGCGTAACTCTACTCTGCTGTAGCTCACTTTTGGGAAAGCATGTATCTCGGAAAGCAAACGCCAGTTGTTCTGGCATATGCTCATGGGCGATGGGTTCACTACACACAGTAGCAGCGGCACCACTCGCTGGACACCAGAGGAACATCTTTCAAAGGCGACGAGAAGCAAAGCCAAGTTCATGAAGGCCAAGAGGACAGTGCAAACTCCGATACGGATCTGCCTAATGCTCTTGGCCGGAAGCTGGAGCCTGAATTGAATCCATGGGACATGGCTTTGTCAATGGCGATCCGCCTTAAGTAGTCGGTGAGCATAAACGACGTGCTGTCGAGCATTGCGCTGCAAGTGAAAGCCGCGATGGCGAAAACCAAGCACCAAACCATTACGGAGCCGTCTTGGAGCGAGGCATCGCTACTGGAATGCCATAAGGCCGGCTAGGCCACTGGCATGACCAGCGTCTTCATGGCCAGCTTGTGCAACGGCTCCATCAGATACTCTCCATCGGTGAAGGCCATGCTAGAAAGTCGATGGAGATTCGTGCAAGCTGGCAACCGAATGTTTTGAGCAATGGTCGCGAAACAGAGGATTCGTCTGACTATGACAGCCGGAACTTGTGTAGCAGCACCTGTGCTTCGCTCATCGCTCTCTTGCCTGATACTTGTAGGAACGCACATGCGAAGCTCGGACTTCATCCCACTTCCCAAAGCAGAAAGTTCCAAAGCGTCCGTGCCACCGCCGTCAGCTACAAAGTCTCGCTTCCATCCGAAGCCTTTTTCGGTCAGCATCGAAAGTACGCAGAGTTGGGTGCCGGCTGCCAAGACTCATCCCAATAGCCGGCAGCCACGACCCCACCGTAGCCTTTCCTGAGCTGTCGAGTGTCGACTGCGAGCCAACAGGAAACCTTGAGCTCTCCCAAACGGCCGGGCTCACTTCCCTTCACGGTGAGCAGACTCAGAAACCACTTCGCAAGCAGTTGAGTTAAACTGCAACAGCACTCTGGTGAAAACATGTAGAGGAGGGGACATTCTCGACATGTTCTCGTTACTGCCACTTTGCCAAAGGGCCATCGGAAGTGTGGACCCGCCACCATGAAATCCGGCAGCATGTTCGACATCGGCGCGCGTGTGTGCGGCTGGTTCGTGGCGAAGGAGTACGAGACCAAGTCCACCTCGTCTGACAAAAGGCAACGAAGTTGCAAAGAAAAAAAGAGCCGCCGAAAAGCATCGAAAACCCGAAAAGCTTTTTCTTTCTATAAGCTCGGGCACCAGCGCCTGGTTCTCTAAGGCCGTCACCACCAAGTCCAGCGCTCCGAGCGCTTTGGAGCCCTTCGGGGACAGAGGCATCGATTTGCAGAGCTCTATGGCACATGACGCTACGGCTCTTGGCAGCTGTGCCATCAGATTTAGATGGACCCGCCGCCTCCTGGCAAACCTAATGAAAAGCAAAAGGACAAATGGGTGATGTCTCAAACCTACAAGCAGCCCGCAACCGCCCTCAACCGCCTCTGCCGGCGCTCTGAAGACGGCACTGTACTGGCCGGCGAAGCGGCAGCCGCCCAGATGAAGACTTGCAAAGCAGAGTGCAGTCATCGGATAGATATCAGCGAAATTGACACATGCACACACACACACAACCTGTTGCTTCCTTCGCGTCTGAGAATCAGGATGGCAAAATGGCAAATCCAAACATGCTATCCGCCACTGGAAAACTGGCGACCCTCTGCAAGCACCTTGAAGCCACAACTTTTTTGTGGCTTCGTAGCCAATGTTTGAAGCCCAGCTGCGTGTTCCCCGCACCGGATCTCAACCTCGGCTTCAGAGGCAAAGGAAGTGCCGTTTCAGGCTGCGGCTTTGGAATACCCTGGTTGTCCGATGTGACAGGGCATCCACCGATGCAGCGGACTCAACAGTGGTCGCTGGTGTGGATTCAGTTCCGAGTGCTCCACTACCTACTGCAACATGCTGAAGGTATGCTGCATGGCAGCAGTAAACTGGAGACTAACCCCATTGCAGCGAGCAGCACAGCCGAAACGCAACCGCCGAGAACAACAAAACTCACAAGATTGAAACTGTCATCATAATTTTCCTCATCATGCTTCTGTCTCATTCGGACGGCTGCTTGAAGCCAGGGCGCTCGAGCGGCCAGCTCTTCCCCCATGGCAGGCGTGCCACCGTGCCCAGAAAGACAAAGCGGTGCGACTGGCGAAAGGCCCCGGCCTCGCAGTGGACTCATGGAGAGAGGAGAGACACTGCAGAGCTGTGTGCATCTACCCAGAGCTGTTGGCTACTAAGGTGAGGCGCTTCGGCACACTGCAAAACCCAAGACGGTCGCGCATTCCCTCTGGCATCTTGCCAGCCGTGACGGAACATGGAGACCATGTCTCGACCATGGATGTCCGTTTACAGCTCAGACATCAGGAGAGAATATGAGGAGTTCAATCGATTTCCCACTGTCACACCCCTGTAGAGCATCCACCTAGAGAGCCTTGGCCCGATAACTCCCTCGCTCTAACCCCGGGTCCCGAAATTCAGGAAAGGAAGAATCAAGTCGCTTTGGCCCGCTGCTTCATGTGCCTTTGCAGGCATTACTGCTGTTGCTGTGAGTCTCGATTTCCATACCAGAGTGGCATTAGCTAGTTTGCTCCGATATCACAAACACCTGTTCCAGTTTCGAAAGCCCTCTGATGCAAACTTCTTCCAAGATCTCAACACCTGCAAGAACATGAACCGAATCCCTACCCTAAGCCTAAGCCCAACTCAACCCTGACCGAAACCCAAACCCTAGCGGCCTAGCGGCCCTAGCAAACCCTCTAAGCCTCAAAGCCGTCCGATCCCCATTGCTCGGTCCTCGGTCTGTGTCAGCACCTGGGTCGCCGTTCCCACGGCCGTCAGGTGGCCTGCTACGAAGTAGGAGGCCAGCAGCACCTAGTCATCTTTGAGGCACTCTCGGCTTTGGTGCCCTCGCTCTGGGCTTTGGATCGCGGGTCGAAGCGAGCCCTACCCTCGCGGAAGCCTCCAGTGCCGACGGTGTATCCGGAATCACCAGAACCTGACGCTCAGTCGGAGCTGAAGAGCCGAAGACTAAACAAAACAAAAGGTCGAGGTCTTCTTGTGGCAGTGCCCCGTGCTCCTCTTTGATCCCAGACACCCAGGGCTCTGCGAAGACCCGCCGGATTGGACTCAGGGAGGGCCTGCCGAGGCTGAAGAAGGACGTGTAAGAAAGCTTCCAGCCGGCCTCCTTCTGAGAGAGTTTTCTCAGAGACCTACTTGGCCCTGGGCTCTAAATCTTCTGGAGACTCCGTGAAACCAGGGCCGCCAAACAGCGGACCAGGAAGCCCAAGCCAAAACCTCTTCTTACCCAGAATCTGCTACCGTCCTCTAAACCCTTGGCTGCACTGAACCCGAAACCATGTCAGCCATGGCCGTAAGCCTGCCTCAAGTCCCCGGGGCCGCAGACACGCCAAGATTGTCCGGATCCTTCCCCAGACTCGGTGCAGGTGCCAGGAGAGCTTTGGCACACCTCGACCTGCAGAGAAGGTCGATGGGATAAGAGCCGCAGGGCCTCTAAACTGTGCGGAGCTTGCGCCTCTTCCGCCTCGCCCAGCTTCAGAATGCCACCGTCCAGCAGCAGCTCGTCCCCCTGTGTGCTTGGCGCTTGGACGCAACTCAACTCGACCTACAGCATTACCTCCTGACACCTCGAGATTAAGCTTGAAACCTACCTGTGATTGAAGCATGCTCTCAAGAACGCGAAACCCACTCCTCACGTCTCCTCACGAGGCTCTGCTTCGATTCCCCTTGCACCCCTCTCTGAGGCCGAGGGGCCATTGAACGGCCCTAAACCCACAAGCACGGTGTCAACTCTGTGGCCTTTTGCAGGAGTTGCCCGAGGCCGCCCGACATCCGCACGGCGAAGCGCAGCACATTGGCAGTCGTCAGCACCACCTGCATCGATCTGCATCGGCCATTTGTTGTGCTGAAGAGATCCATTTGGTGTTCTGAAAAGATTGCCACTGTCGCAAGAAGAGCTGGGGCGTGTGCGGGTTCGACTTGGCTGCATCTCCGCGTAAAGCTGCCTCCCCGATCCCCATACCGTGCATGTTTTGAAATGTTCAAACCAGAACCCACTGTTGAGAAAAACTGCGACGCTTATTGAAAAGACTTCCCGCCCCACACCCCGCCCCCAACGAAAGCGCCCTCCTTCACCCCTTTCTCTCCCTGTCTGTGTCGCTACAGCGCCTGCTTCCCCGGAGATGCTCTGCTCAGCGTCAGGAAGCCCCGTGCCGCTGGCCCCCGGCGCTGGAGGATCCGAAGGCCGAACCTCCCCTGAACGAGGGAGCAGAAATACACAGGAATCGGACCAACCACTCGGCATGCGGCATGGACATTTAGGGTCCATTTGGCGATCCGCTTGGTTTTCTATGCAAACAGCTTTTTTATGCTCCTCATCATCATCATCATCACCACCACAGGATCCATGGTGCTTGGCCAAGGGCCTGGCTCTGTAAGACTGGCTGAAAGTTTCCAGGAGTTCTGCTCCATGCCGGGCCGGAGCCATGCACGTAGGTTTAGTGCAAACCTCAGGAGCTTGAATCCTCGAATCGCCGGTCCTGGTACTCCGGACCCCCAGCCGCCAGAACGAAGTCGCCCTGTGCTCACGCTCTTCTTTCCGGGACTTGTCTACGAAGCGCTGAGCCGGTAACCTGCGCCAGGAGATCTGACAGCGCCAGCCGTGGACGGCGGGCCGCCTGGCAGAGAGACCGAAGGCATCAGCCCGACTGCCCTGCTAGGTTACGAGGTTACTGAGTCCTAGGCCCTAGACCCCCATCGCCTCCAGCGTCCACTTGCGGAGGCCCGGGTCGTGCATGACGCCGCCATCATTGGGCTCCTGAGGCGCATGCGCTGCGTCGTCAGAACTCACGTCTTCAGAATCTGAAGGTCCTGGCTGTCCCACCACCAGTGCTCCTGATCGAACTCCTCTCAGGCATCTGCACATCGCGACATCGCGACATTGCATCTTCTCTCAATCGCTTTGATCTCAGATTGCTTCCGAAGCCTGGAAGGTGACGTTGGCACCCTCCTCCTCCAGGTGCCTTGCCATCCGACGTCCGAACCATGGCGGCACCGCCTCGCGGAAAGCATGCTGCGTTTGCAGGTGCCGAAGTAAGCGTCCTGCATGGTGGCAACGGCCGGCCTGATCGCGCGCTGCCGTTCGAACCAGGGCTGGCAGGCCCTTGACAAGGCGAGATGCGACTGAGAACAGTGCATCCAACCTCGTGAGATTCACCGCCCATTGCGCTCTTGTCCAAAGTAGTGCATTGTAGGTTTCTACTGCCTCCTCTTGCAAGTACCTCACCTCAGCCTGCACACCACCACCCGTGCTCCGTTCTTTGCCTTTCGACCAGCACAACTAAGTTGCACCGCAAATGAAGGCAAGGGGGATCGAGTTGTCGCAGCCCTTGGGTCACATATCCCTCATTTTCCGGCTGAACCTTACCTTCGCCGCATCTGGCCTTCAGGTTTGAGGCGTGCAAGGAGTTCTCGTTCTCTGCCACGCTGGCATGGAAGATGCCCAGAAGCAGCTTGTCCTAGCTTCGTGGGCCAGGCCCGACCATCCAAACAAAGCCAATGTCATCTGAAAGGGCGAGTGACTGATGGGTTTTTATTGGGTTCCAGGGTTCTTTGGTTTTTTGGACGGCTTGGACTTAGAGTGTATAGGACAAGCTTGTAGGAGCTTTATGCGCAGTCAGGTCTGCGTCGTGGCTTCGACATGATCAGGCTGGTCAGGTCTCAGAATCGGTTGTGGGAGGCAGCCTAAACCTAAAGCCACTTTGGGACCCAGCGACGGAGCTGACATGGACGTGCAGGAGGAGGCAAGAAGCCACTCATAGTCCAGGTACCGAAATGGAATGATTTCGATTTTGCCTGATTGCTTATACGGTGCAAAAATCCCAGCAGTCACGTTCATCGTGCGCAAAGGTTTGACACCTCAGAATTAGAAGAATTACAAGAATCATCTACTACTAGAACAACTATCTATTTCCCAGTACCCCCTTACCCGCTGTTACTCCTCCCCTTCTGCGCTGTTACTACAACCCTACCCGCTGTTACTGGGAACGCTTCGACGTTTATCATGGCAATACAGACAGTAATACGAAACAGTTTACATGAGACATTCTGGCACACTATAGTTCTGAGTTGCACAACTAGTGGACCTAGTCCGGCGGTGGCAGTGCACCCTCAGTAGCTCGACAAAAAAACCTGCAGAGAGACGAACTGCATAGGTTCAACCAGGGCTCCATGTGCATCAGCGCGGGGTCATGCACCCAAAGGTTGTTTGCATCGCCGTACTCCTCTGACAGTTTCCGTGAAGGCTCTGCACCCCATCTTGCGAAGCTCTCTGCCCCGCCCTACGGTGCTGACATTCCTCCTGTGCATGAAGTTGAGACTGCCCTCTCATTGCAGAAATGCTGGGGCAGGCTTGGCGTCTACCTTTCATGATGACATCAACGAAACGCAGCGTCGAGTGCATGTCCAAACGTAAGTACCATCAACACAGAGGCCAGGGCACACGAATTAAACTCCTAAAGCTACTAACAGCCGAAGTGTGACGTGGACTAAGACCAAGTTTGGACCGACGCCATGCAGCGGCTTCAACAACTTGCCGAAGATTTAATGCGAAAAGCGCCAGCGGATGGGAGGGTTCCGGCCCCCCGGCCCAGTGGGCGCCTCTCGGCTGTACCAGCCACATGCCGACGCCACGCCCAGGACCCTCTCGGGGATGCGAGTGGCGAGGGCCCAGGCCTCGGCGCGCGCACGAGCGGACTCTGCCTGCCTCGGACCTCAAGACGCAAGAGGTGGGGGAGGAGGGGGGGGAGGCTTTCTGAGTGCCGAGGATCTCCGTGGCCGCCTCGCGAGTGGCCGTGGACGACGAGGCGCCCGGCATCCGCCCCTGACCGACAGCGAGGGCTGCGCGGGCCAAGCGGGCCCCACACGTTCAGCAGCGGATTCCACTGAAAGCGCCTTGGCTCTCTGCCAGCACATCGATCGAGCGCAAGGCAGCGCGAAGACCGACGTCTTCCCAGTTGTGCCTGGATTGAAAGGGCTGCTGGCAATCTACAGCTTCGGCCCAGTTGAAGCTTGCAGCCAAGTTGCGGTCCGTCCCTCTGGGGTGCCAGGACCCACATCTCCTCGTAGCCGAAGATGTAGTCCTGGCATCACTTACTCTGTGTGAACATGGCACAAGCGCCCTGGGCCCCAGATGGCGAGAACCGTCGTCGTCACCGTGCCCAGTCATCCCGACCTCCCAAGTCGCCGGACCTCCGCCCCCGGAGGCTTCATCTTGTAGGCATCGGCCTGTCTCCCGAGCCCGACCGCACGCCCTTCGGCAGAAGCCTCTTGCAAACCTCCGAGCCTGCGCTTGTGGCTCCACGCCGACACCAGAGAGCGAGACCAGAATCGGCATGGCTTCTCCGCTGGGCCTCGGCGAGCGCAGTGAGAGGGAGGCAGGCGAGGCTTCGTGCAGCGCTTCCAGGGCCTCCTCGGCTTGAGCACCGCGGCCAAGGCTACCGAGCCGTCCACGTCCAGGAAGGAGAAGAGCGCGGACTGCGTGGACCGCCGGCAGCGCAGCTGCACGGGAACGCTGAGGGCGGCCTCTCGCGCTCCCAAAAACCCTGGACAGTCTTTGCCAACAGTGCGAAGAAGAGCCTGCTCCGTCTGGTCCTCGCTGCCCAGGAGGCGCAGCTCAAAGCGAACGCAGGCGGCCGCGTCCTGTCGAGGCAGTGCCCTTCGGCCTTCATCCTGCCCTGAAGTGAGACATAGATCGAAGTACTACTCGTGCCAAAAGAAGTGTACGTCCCTCCTTCTCCACCGCCGGTCCGTTCACCGTGACCAGCACGGGCACCTGCAATTCAAAGGACAGGAAATGACTGATCATGTGCCAGACGGATGCAGCACTTCAGCAGTCTCATACCACAAGAGGCAACAAAAGGATCAAGCAAAACCATCCCATTGAGGTTCTGTCAGCCTGTACCATGGCTCCGGGTGCCAGGCGCACAGAGGATGAAGCAGCAGACACGACCGACCTTGGACGCCCCAGCTCTCACCAGATTGGAAAAGCTGAAACTGCATGTTCCTGCTGGCCATCGCAACTTGGAGGCGCGAGCCCATCAGGTTACAGTCGTGCGAATGCCGGGCTGGTTCAGGAATCAACAAACTCAGAAGACGACTCTTCCTATGTAAAACTCTGTCTGCAAGGCACGACGGGCTCGGAGCCACTTCAGCTCTGACATCCAGCCACGAGGCTCCTAAGCTGAAGAGAACTTGATGCGAGTCACCTTTCTTCCTGCCTCTATTCTTCAAAAAATATGCGCATATCCTTCCGCAACAGCAGCAACACAAGCTGCGGCGGCAGGAAGAATGTAGCGAAAATTAAGCAGGTCGACTCTTCTGGCAAAGGCGCCGGTGTTCTGGACCCGCAAGTCGATGGGTGCAGGGCTGACGAGCAGCTTCCCTCCGACAACATCCGGGAGGTTCTTGGCCTGGATGCTGCCCTTCCTGATCCAATGAATCCACCACAGCCACCACAACGGGTCCGCTTTCCTATCCCACCCTCCCCTCCCTCGATTCTTGAAGCACGAGGCCGAGGCACAGCGTCGCTTTGAGGGTCTCCAGCCGGCACGCGAAACGTAGAGGGACCTGTGCAAAGCAATCTCTCCCTTCCAACGGGCCTCCATAGGGAGGGTGGGGGTGAGTTCGCAATTTCCGTGACTGTTCGTTGTGCTCCTCTTCTCATATTGCTCCAAGAAGTTTCTGCACTTAGCATGGTTGCCTCTGTCCATCTAAACTTGAACCTAAGACTCGTAGACATTCATATCCTTGAAGCAGAGCTTGCCAATGCTCCGAAGCTATGACCGTGGCCGACACCGAGCAGAGCGGAACAACTCAGAGACTTGAGAGATTCCAGAGTTCGGGCATGTCGCGACATGCGGCATGAACAGTGAAAGGTCGGCAATTCTGTTCTGAGCAACGATGGGATGTCCTGCTCTGACATATGATTGCACGTGTACGAGAGCCGGAAAGAAGCAGTGACGCGAGCGTCAGCAGGGGTAGCCAAAAGACCGGCTGGAGGCGAAGCGGAACGGAGGTAAGCGAGGCCCCGTGGGAAAACCTTGGACATGCCCAAAGAAGGAGAGGCGGAGAAGCGACAGGAAATGCGGCATCGAGGTCAGAATGTAGCATTCAATGAGTGTGCGACTGGGGTGGGAGACATTACGAACTCCAGTTCTGCCTAGGCGTTCCGAAGGACCTCTGTTTCATACCTGAAACGTAAAGAAGCTGATTGCTTAAAAAGTGAATGAATGGCGAGGTTAATCGTGCATCCGACGCCTGCTGCAAGGTCCCTGCATTTCAAGGACCTTCGGATCACCGAAGCAGCCGGCCTTCCCACGAACTCGGGAGAGCAAGTGGTAGGTCCCGGGTGCCTCAACAGGGCACCATGCAGTCAACTTCGCCAACTTTGGGAAAGAACAGGGCCCTCCCCGTCTTCAGACACCGCCTCGAAGTCGATGGGGACAGTGAAGGGGGTGCTGCTGTAGATGTTCCCTGCAAAGGGGCCCACGACCTTCGACCAAGGGGCGCCCCTTACTGGAAATCCGGAGTTCGGACGACCGCATGGTTAGCTAGAACTAAATTTGCATCGGCTGCACATGCTCAGCGTCAAGACCTAAAGATGTCATGTTGCGGCAGCTTCCCAACTCCGACCTGCTCGTCCTGCGGCAAGACCACGTGGAACGTGTGAAGCCTTGGTTTACTTCGTGTTCCTGAGGTTTGGCGACCGTTTCGAGGTCAGTCAAGTGATGGTGGTGCTGAGGAGGAGGAGGAGGAGGAGGAGGAGGAGGAGGGGGAACTGCTGCTGGTGCTGTGCTGCTGCTGCCTTGGGTGCTGCCGGTGCTGCTGGTGCTTCTGTGTTGGTTGTGATGTCTCGTTACTAAGTAATCGTCAGTAATCGTAGTCATCGCAGTCGTAGTAGAGCCGCGGCAGAAGAAGCAGCAGCAGCAGCAGCGTCGAGGTCGTACACTCTGCAACGTCCTCAACGTCACAGCCAAGGCTCCCGCGGCAGTTCACTCCGAAGCGCCCCGAAGTCTTCACCTTTAGCGCCCCGACGACCCAGTACCTGGGGCCAAGGGCTGAAGGGCCATTAGAATGCTGCCTTGAGTCCTAATCACACTCAAGCTCCTCAGATGTGTATGAAGATTGTGTATGTGTGAAGATTTCGGGCTTGCGCAATGCTGCCGAGCAGAGCAAAGAGCACACCGTGCTTGTCCGCACACGTTCTTCGGGTGCTGTCGTGCTTTTGGCTGCGTCGAGACACTGACACTGGGGAGTTTCGAGCTTGCGGGTGTTAAGTTGTATTTGTCCGACAGGACACAACATCTCCACACAAATCGCCCCAGGACTTCAGGCTTCAAGTCCGTCCGCTGTCTTGTGATCGCGTGACCCTGTTTCTGTGCTGTGAGTGCCTCAAGCATCGCGGGCAGTCATCCCACCGGCTTTCAGGCTCCACAGCTTGAGGGCCCGGCTGGACGTGGAGCACGTCGCTGCCGGATCCCAAAGGTGGGCTCTGCAGCAGCTGCTGGAAGGGGATGTGGTCGTGCGGCAGCCTTATAGAAGAGATGTTTGGAGTGTGGGCAAGGGCACGAACAAGAAACAACTCGACGTTGCTGCAAGACCTGTGACGAATCCAGGGTGCTGGATCTGAGCCCACCCGTCACCACCTCCACCTCGGCTCAATGACATTCCGTTGCAGATGCTCTCCGCCCCTACCCCTTCGCGCCGTTGGACTTCGAGTTGCTCCAGGGCTCGAAAATAAAGACAAAGGAAAGAGGCTTCAAGGAATTCTGGCGATTAGAGTCTACCTGCAGGGGCGGCAAACAACACCCATGGCCCTTAATCAAGTCGCGCCGCTCAAGGTCTCCGTCCATCTCCAGGACACGCGGCCTCCCCAAAACACCCTGCAAGTCTCTGCTCTAGCCTCTTTCTCTTTCTCTCAGCTTATAAGCGGAGACTTCTGCGAAGCACAAAGCGAACTTAAGCGGTCTTAGTCGCGCCTCCGGTCGCGTGCTCGGCCAGCAGCCCAACACCCGCCTTTCCTTTGCAACTGGCTCCCACTCTGCGAACCCCTCAGGTCAAATATGGAGCCGATTCTCATCCAGGCCACGGGAGCCAAAAAGCTGCCAGACTCCTCCGAGCCGTTCCACCGGGTCCTTGGCTACGACTGCTGAGGACAGGCCCCACGAATGGAACTTCCGACTTCGAAGCCAAAGCCGACATCCTACCGGTACGTGGCAGTTGCAGAAAGCTGAAAGAAAGCTGGCAGGCTCCTCTTTCAACCGCGGCGCCGCTTCATACTCGACCTTGCCGGAAGCGAAAGGGCCCAGGACCCACCACTTCTTCCCGATCTTGGGGAGGTCCCCAGAGACCACCTCGCGCGACAGGCAGCGACGTGAGAATGCTGGAGTCGTGGCCGGGCCTCTGCGCTGGCCAGGGCCAGGAGGAAAGTGCCACTGCGCATGGCTCGGATCGCGCGGGCTCGCCAGAAGCACGGGTTTTTGGGGCTGAGTGAAAGGCTAGCGGCTACCAGTAACTTCCATTCGGATGCGGCGGCTTCGGGCCTAGCAGGAGATGCCAGAATGGTCTGTGCTGCCTGTCTCCTCCGACCCCCCCCTCAGCTTCAAATCATCACAGCAAGCTCAACAATTGGTCACGTGCATGCGCTTCTTATACCGGCTCGCTGGAGACCGCAAAACGATCGTGTCACAAGCACACCAGCAAGGCACCGGACAAGGAGTCCTTTTTGTCCACTCTGACTGGCCCTGGCCAACTTTAAGCCAGTCGCCGGCCGCGGGGAAGGCACGAACCAGTTCGCCGGCCGCCGCGGGATGGTCACATCGCGGGCGGTGGGGATCCGGCCGCCCCTGCCCCTGCCGCCTCGGCCACGCCCTCGGCCTCGCCGCCCTCCTCGGGCTTCGGCTCCTCCCCGGGCACCTCCCCGTCGGGATAGACGCAGTGGAGGTAGGGCGTCTCGGCGGAGAGCAACGCCTCCGCAAAAAAACGAACTGTCTTTTCCCGGCTCCCTGCCGGCCCCCGGCCGAGCCTTCTTCAGGGGTTTCGGCTCGATGCAGGTGCCCAGGAACTTCACGCTGTCGCCCTAGCGCGGCATTGCTTGGGCTTGTTCGGACAACACTGACCTGATGCTTCAGAACCACGCTGCATGCTAATTTCACTGCGGCCTGCTGGTTTGATGTGGCACAAGTTGGGGCGTCCAGACCCCCTTCCTACCACCGCCCAAGCCATCGCGGTGCCTCCCGCCAGTGGAAGTCCTCCCCGCGCTCCGCGTCGCAGGCGAGGTCATGGCCGTCCTCCCCGAGTTCCTGGCTCTCTCTCCGGGAAACGTGCGCGGCTCAGGCCCAGGAGCTCCCAGCATCTCCCAGCTCCTTTTGTTCGCAAAGCTCGAACTTACCTCCTTCCTCCTGAACAGCCGAGTCGGTTGGGAGTCGGCTTCAGACAGCTCGAATTCAAAGGGTCCTTCAGGCAGGCCAGGAGCTCGGAGTTCGGTCTCTCCGGGTTCATGACCTCCACGTTCACCCCGGCCTCCGCAGCGGGCCAGGCCGCGCTAGCAAAGTCGGTCCCGTCTGAAACCACGTCAGAGCGGGACATCCAGAAGAGCACTGCAAGAGCACCAGCAGAGTCGAGAAAGAAATCAAAAGGAAAACAGCGAGGAGGCTTCGACAAGGCACAAAGTGGCCCTATGCCTTGAAGAAGTTCGGGGGCTCTGCAATGGCAGCCTTGAGCGGATCTTCGCCGTCGATGTCCTGGGCATCGCAGACATCTGAGATGCTACCGCCAAAAGGCCCAAACGGATGTCCAGAGGATGGGATTGCTTCTTGCATGAGAAGCGCCGTGATCCTGCTCCAAACTGTTGCGTTGCAAGTCCTGTTGCACCTTCGTAAACCACATGGGACCACACGGGTAGATCATGCTACGACTGACCTACGTTTAGGATGCCAGTTGCTCAATTACGCTATGCATCGTGCTATGTTGACTTTTCGTATGCCAGAGCATGATTTGTTGCCGGCATCATGTTGTGTACATGTCAGTGGTTGTCCTTCCTTGCTGCACTAGCCTAGCTATGCCATCATGCGCTACAGTATGCCGTGTGTACATGTATCTTGGTACGATAGCATGCCATGTTTGACCAATCACTCCGACTTGTACCTTTTGCTGATAAGGTGTCGTGTGTTCTGGGAAACTCGTTACACGAGTTGAAACTTGTGATCCTCTACGCGTGATCCTTCCATGCAGTCTGGTGTGCTCCTAGGATACATGATTTTGCTCTTGAGCGACTTCGCGCAAAATATATCCCGTACACAAACCGCTAGCCGAGCATCCGCAGCAGTGATGAGCTTCGGCTCAAACTGCTTGCGCAAGTTTTCCTCAGATGTAGATGCTACATTTCGCCTCGTCGATGTGCTTCAGACGCATTTGACCACCAAAAAGGGAGAGGGGCGTCGGGCAGGAAACAAGCCAAAAAACACGTTGGCCAAGACTCCAAGTCCCTGTCCAGCCGCTGCTGCCGCTTGGTGAGGAGTCGGTCCTCCTGTTGAGGGCTTCTTGACCACCGGGAAGATCGATCGATACTCGTAGTACGAAATCATGCGAAATCATGATCATGGCCTTCGACATCATCGCCGTTCGCATGGTGAATGCTATCTTGTGGGGAACGATTTCTTTCAAAAAGTCAGAGGATGCGGGAAACTTAAGGTTTGACGTTTTCCAGTGTGGTCTTGGGATGTCCCCACCATGAAGCTGCTTGATGCCATCCACATAGCAGTTGCTGGAATGGTCGTCCCCCAATATCAACACCGAAGCAACCCACGACATCCCTGCATATCCTGGTAAAGACGAGCTCAGCTCTCATGGTTCCCTCTCCTCTATGTTTCTCTAGGGTGGGAAGGTCCGGTCAAGGACCCCACCCCGACAATCCTTAACAGGGGCACCCCATGTTTCCGGGAGCTTCGGGGTAGCAACCATGTTCCGAGAGTTTGCTCATCCTTCTCGTAGTCGGCAATAAATATGACGCTGAGAGGCTACCCCGTGAGAGACGTATTGTCAAAGGAAGAGGTCTGATATTGAAAATGCATCGCTCTTGCAGCCGGCCGGGCCGACTCAGAAAACGGAATTGCGCCATGGCACTCGAGATTTAAAGCTGGCTTGGGCCTTCTGGCAGTCCGGCGTGGTGTCTGCACCACCGGGTCGCAGCTTCGGCTTGCTGATCTCGTGCCCGAACCTGCGAAAGTCGCACGGAGTCCCGTGGGACGCGACGCGTATTCCCAGCAGATTTCTCTTGGAAGCTGGCTTGTTGAACACGGCCATGTCATCGAAGTAGCCCTTGGCCTCAGATTCGACGCGTTCAGACTTTGCCACTTCCCGACCAACATCAGCATCACTATGCTCAGCGTCAACGCCGCCATCAGCAGCACCAACAGCGGGCGGTGGCGATCAGCTCAGCATCAGGAGTATTACCATCAACATTATGAGAGCAGCATCAGCATCAGCATCATCATCGTTGTCATTGTCATTGTCTTCCTCCTGACCATCTTCTTCTCCATCACCGTCAGTAGTAGAAGAGTCAGGAGCAGCAGCAGCAGCAGCAGCAGCAGCAGCAGCAGCATCAGCAGCAGCATCAGCAGCAGAAGCAGCAGCAGCAGCAGCAGGAGCAGCAGGAGCAGCAGCAGGAGCAGCAGCAGGAGCAGGAAGTAGCAATAGTCATGGTGGTCGTGCTAGAAATCGTAATCGTAAGCCAAATGCATAGCCATAATCGTGGCCGTACTCATAGTCAGAGTAGCAGTAGTAGTAGTCGTCGTCGTCGTTCACTCTCGCTCCCCCTCCTCTTTTGCCCCCCGAATGGTTGAGGGTGAAAGTTGGGTCGCTCCTTGCTTGCTCGGATGCATTCCCCCTTCAACGGTGGGGTGAGGTTACTTTCTGCTTGCTCGAATGCAGCCTGCCCCTCGCCCCTTTCAGCTCGCTTTGGACCACCCCCACCTCGCCGAAGCCAGCTAAAAGCTCCACCCATCCCCCTTTGCACAGCTTCCCCAGCCCATTGCACCTAATGCGTACCTTTCAATCATAATCCAAGCACGCTTACCTCCCGTGCCGAAATCCGACCCCTCCGAAGAGCTTTATTTTCACCCTATTTACACTCATTTTTTCCTACTTTAAATCGTATGCCGAAATCTGACCTTATCCGAAATCCTATTCCAAATGCTGTGTTTTTCTGAGTTGATTAACTGTCTGATCTCCTCGATCCTCGATGCTGGCCAAGAGCTTTTTACCATGCCAGTGCTGTGCGACGAATTCCCCCTCCCAGAGCCCTGTTATTCCTGGGGTCTTGGCTACCTGGAATGCCGTGGCCCTCCGTCGTGGCGTGGGCGCCCACGCCCAGGCGGCCAGCATTGGCTCAGACTCACCTCGCACTGCGAAACTAAAAAACCGAAGCCTTTGAGTTCTCCCGTGGTGCCCAGCCCGCCTGAGGGCTGGAAGTGCGAGCAAACGGCATGGCCCAGCGAGCCCGGCATGGGGTCTTTGCCCCGTTGCTTTGCAGGGGGGTCAGGGTGGCCTATGGTGGCCTGGTGCTTGCGGGGGCTTTGCTCTTCGGCTGGAAACTGGAGCTTCGGCGTCGTGGTTGCGCGCCTTTTTTTACACGGTGTGAGCATGCTGCATGATCCCGTGAGACGTAAACTGCCACCGCACAGGAATAATTCCTGTCAAAGTCAAAAACCATGCTGTGGTCATCACAAGCTGTGAGCCATCGGCGAAAACCGTTTCTCTTCCCAAGAGTTTATCCTTCGACCTCACCAACGGCGTCCTCGTGCCCCTAAGTATGGTATCCATTCTGGTTGCTTTGTGCGTGTTGCTGCTGCTTGTTCTTGCTGCTACCGCTATTGCTATTGCTGTGCTGAAGTTGTTGTTGTTGTTGGTGGTGGTGGGGCCCCTCACGTCATTCCCTTCATGAAGCCACTGCCTCAGTTTGCATATCTCCCGGGACGGGGACTGTCGGATGCACAGAGCCGCGTGGTGCAGCATCTACGGGAAGAAAGACAAGTCGGTCGCTCGGCGAAACCCAGCA